TTGTTAGTAAAATTAAAAACTTTTATATATAAGAAAAAATACGTATTTTACTAATTATAATTAGTAAAAAATTTAAGTGTTGCATTATTTTTGATTACCACTGTATCTATATTATTAATTTAGATAATTAATATTTTTTAATTAGATTTCTTTTTAATATTTTTATTTATTCTTTTATTATTTATTTATATTATTATTTATATTATTTATAATTATTAAATTATAATTATTTATCCTCTAAAGATATGAATTAAGTTAATTAATTATATTCAATATATATATAAAAATTATTATTAATACTTTATATTCATTTTTTTTACTATAAATATATTTTTTCTATTCTGTACTTTTACTTTAAATCTGAATACTATTTAAATAATAAAATCATAAATTTATAAATTAAAATTATTTATATCACATTTTATCTTGTTTATAATTATTAATAAAATAATCTTATATTATTATTTTATTATTAAAATTTATTATTTAAGAAATTATAATATATTTATTATTTATATTATTATATTATTTTAAAATTCTTATATATTAAAAATTAGAAGTATAATCAAATCTTTTTATAATTATTATACTTGAAAAAATAAAATTAAATAGCTAAAGAAAAATATAATTATAAAGAGATTTTTTTAATTATAATTAATTAATAACTAAGAAACTTAAAAAAAATAACTATAAAAAAGATAATTATAAAAAGATATAATTATAGAAAGATTTAACTATATATTATAAATTATTAATTAATATTAATTATAATATTAATTATAATTTAATTAATTCTATATTATATAATTAGATATATATCTATATCTTTATATCTAAATTTATAAATTTATAAATTTATTTCTTGAAATATAAAATTATATTTTTAAGATATTTAAATATTTTTCAAATATTTTTATAATATTAATTTTATATTTAAAGAATATTTTTATTTTATAAGTAAAAAAGTAAATTCAGTTTAGATTTAAAATTTTAATTTAAGATTTAATTTAATTTTAATTTTATTTTATATTATATATTTTATATAATTTATTATTACTTAATATAAAAATCTTATATTAAATTTTTTTTGTTATATTATAAAATAATATTTAAAAAATTATAATAATAATATTAAAAATAATATTATAATAAGAGAAATATATATTAATATTATTATTTAATTTATTTTATGTATATATATATATATATATAATTGCTTGTTGTAATTTATAATTATATAAAAAATATATATAAATTACTAAACTAATTATATTTATATAATATATATATACTTATTAGATAAAAATATCAAATCAGCTAATCTATTATATAAAAATTTAGTAATATAAACAAATTTCAAATAATAATTATGAGCTTAATACTTATTTAAATATATTAATTTTTTGTTCTATAATTTATCAATTCTTTAGTAATTACTTATAATTTTCAAAAATACTATTAAATCAAGAATTAATTAATTTTGAATGAGGTAGAATTATCAATTACTGAAAGTGCAAGAAAATTATTTATAGGATTATAGAAGTTCTTGATCATACCTAAGTATAGATTTTTCAAGTTATTGATATATTTTAAAAAGAATAACAGATAATTGTTAAATTCTAAAATAATTAGCTAAAAATTTTAATAAAGTATAATTTTTAATAATTATCAAAAGAGATAGAAAAAATAGGCAAAATATATTAAATAAGCTTGCTCAATCAATTAATAAAGTATTGATTATACTGGTTAATAATTAGTTATTATCTTTATAAATTAGATTTTTACAGTCTTATTAAAGTAAAAAAATCTTTTATTTCTGAAATAAATCAGAAAAAATATTTTAAATAGTGTAAAGAAAGACAAAATTAGATTGTTAAATTTAAAATAATCATTTAGAGTAATAAATTTCATTTCTATCTATTTCAAAATAATGCTTACAAAATAGTCTGATATTGATCAAAAGAAAAATATATTGTTGATTATCTATTAAATATAATAAAGATGATATTATAATATGAGGCTGTTTTATTAATAATAGATCTGGATCTTTAGTTATAATTAAAGAAAAAATAAATGATACTGATTATATAGAACTATTTAAAAATAATTTTCTATTATTCTTAAATGAATTGAAACTGAATTTATATATTTTTCAGAATGATAATTATCTAATTTATCAATTAAGACTGATATATTAATGGAAAGAAGAAAATTTAATTACTTTACTTTTATGATTTGCTCAGAGTTTAAATCTTAATCCAATTAAGCATGTTTAGAATTATTTAGAAAGAGTAGTTTGCAAAAGATAATCTCATTCTAAAAATAAGCAGGAATTATTTATGATTTTAAAGAGAGAGTAAGTAAATATAAATACTAGTTATTTAGAAAAATTAATAAAAAGTATAGCACAAAGAGTTCAGATTGTAAAGATAATCCAACATAATATTAAAAATATTAATAAAAAATTTATCATTTTCTGATTTGAATAATATAAAATTCATGCAATATATATTAATATATTATATGATAAAGATATCAATATCTTTATCATTTATGTAATATCAATATTTGATTTGATACTTTTATTTGATAAGTATATATATTAATTTTTATTAAATAAGTTTTTTATGAGTAATTTATTATTTATTCTTTTTCTTATATAAGTTATATAATTAATTTTAATAATATATTATATATAATATATTATAATAATAAATATTATTATTATAATTTCTTGTCAAATTTATTAAATATTTATTATCAAGAATTAAATCCAATCTAACAAAATATTTTCTTCTTGAAATTATATTTAATTTTCTGCAAATATGAAAAACTTATCAAAAAATATATCTTGAACTAATTATTAAAGCATATTAATATAAAATTTAAATAAATATTATGAAATAAAAGTTCTATAACTATGAATTAATTTATTTATAATTTATTAACAATTCTAATCATTATAAATTTTGAAATTCAGCTATCAGCTATTTAACAAATAAACTAATAATTTTTGAGATCTTTTTTAAAACGCGTTTTATAACAATTAATTAATTGATTAAAGGAAAAAAGACTTTGAAATCGATAACTTGTCACAAAATTTACTGCTAATTTTCAAAAATTATCATTTGTTTCACACTTTAAAAAAAATAACTAAATGTAAGTTTTCAGATAATCTACATCTCCATATCATTATTTTTTATTATCTGACGAGATTAAATCTGGATGTACAATAAACTCATGCAAAGCCTTTCCTGCTGGTACCATTGGATATACGTGCTCATGTTTCTCCACAATGACTTCACATACAATTGGTCCATCATTATATTCCAGAAATTCGGCAATTTTTTCGGGAATTTCTTCTTCGGTCTGAATACGTATAGCTTTACAATGCATGCCCTGAAAGAAAAAATGTGATTGATATTTGAGAACCAATATTAAAGAAATACATAGAATTCGAAATATTGATATTTCCAAACTACATCTTGCTTACCTCTGCTATCTTTACAAAATCCGGATTCACCATTCTAGTTTGGCTATACCTTTCTTCGTAAAACAGATCCTGCCATTGTTTCACCATTCCTTGGAAATCGTTATTTAGTATCAAAACCTTCACACCAATGTTATATTGTGCCGCTGTCGCCAACTCCATACCCGTCATACAAAAACTAGCATCACCATCAATATCTATCACAACTTTATCAGGACTAGCGACTTTTGCTCCAATAGCCGAAGGAAGACCGTACCCCATAGTTCCCAATCCACCTGAAGTGATCATACTTCTTGGATGGCGCCACCTGAAAAATTGAGCAGCCCACATCTGATGTTGTCCGACGCCGGTAGTCAATATGACTTTTTCTTTATAGTTTTGTGTTTGTTTATCCAATTCTTCAATTATTTGCTGAGGTTTTAGACGATCATTTTTCGATTTTGGTTTTGTGTAATACCATGGGTATTTGGATTTCCATTCGTCGATTTTAGCGAACCATTCTTTCCTTTCAACGAATTCGATATGCGGCAATAAAATCCCCAAGTTATATCCCACGTCACCTGAAATGGCGGTATTTGCTTGAACCACCTTATTAATATTTTTGGGACTTATATCAAAGTGAATTATACCACCTCGATTTTCTGAAGACGCCTTTTTTGCTTCTGGGGCAAAATCTAATCAAGATATTAATAAACAAGTATTATTAATATATTCATGTATAATATATTAAATTTGATTATAAAGATTCGATATAAACTCACGATTCAAATGTCCAGTCACACGATCATCAAATCTTGCACCCAGGGCAATGATCACATCAGCTTGTTGCATTGCCAAATTAGCATACGCTGATCCATGCATACCCAGCATGTGAAGACTACGGGGATCCAATTCATCAAAACCACCCAATCCTTGCAAAGTAGTAGTAACCGGTATGTTTGCACGAGATGCTAGTTCTCGCAATCTTTGCGGTCCTTCTGCCGTCGCTAATACGCCTTGCCCAGCATAGATTATTGGCTTTTTGGCCTTATTTATCATTTCTGCGGCGCGGCGTATGAGAGGATCGTTGTAATCCTTAATAGGGCTATCCAAGCTTGGTGTCGCGCCTGATAGATCATTAAATGCTCGAAATGGGAGAGTATATCGTGTTGGTATAGCTTTGTTGAGAATTGCTGCCGTTACGTCTTTTGGTAAATCGACTAAAACAGGACCTGGTCTGCCTGTTGTTGCTATTTCAAATGCTTCAGTGATACGACGGGGGAGTTCGCTAATATTTTTCACCATTACATTCCACTATGATAAAAGGATATATGTTAATCTCAAGATTATTTATATTTAAAATTAATAAACAGAAAATTACCTTTGTACAAGCTCGACTAATTCCTACCACATCAGCTTCTTGGAATGCGTCGGTTCCAATAGCCGAAGTAGGTACTTGACCGCAAAACACGATCAAGGGTGTCCCATCCGATAAAGAATCCTGCATTGGAGTGACAGAATTCGTAGCTCCTGGTCCTGAAGTCACTAAAACTACACCGGGTTTTCCACTAACTCTCGCATATCCTTGAGCCATATGACCAGCACCTTGTTCATGTCGCGGTAGCACAAACTCAAAATGTTTTGAATTGTATATGGCATCGAACACGGGTAGAATTGCTCCACCTGGATATCCAAATATATGTTTAACGCCGTGACGTAACATCATTTCATGAAATATTTCACCGCCTGACAGCCCAATAAAAGATTTATCAAATTCAGGTGGTGTTTCTGTGAGTGGTTCTGCCAGTGGAATCACATTATGTCGTATTATTGATGGTGATGGTGAATAAGCTGGAGATGGTTGTGGGGGACTTGGATTATAAAGTTTCAATTAATTAATTAAAATATTAATGTTTATCATTAAAATAATTATCGATATTGCTAAATTATGTTCTAATATATAACATAAGATAATTACTTGACAGCTGTAGCTCGCCACCTTTTTTGTGTAGCTGCCCATGAAGCAGCAACCTTTAAAGCACTTGCTTTCGTCTTTGCAACATTATATGAGAGAGTAGTACTAGCAGTAGTACTTGCAGTTGTTGAAGACAATAAACTAGTGTAAGCAGAAGAGCCGCTCGCTAAAGTTTTTCGTCCCACTTGTCTCGCTGAGAATACGCCAAGTCGATTATTCATGTTTCGTGAAATTCGTGTGTTCAACAAGAAAACAAATGAAAAACAAGCTTTTTGTCTCTATAGTCTTTTATTAATTGGTATTATACTTTTTATATAAGATACTTTTGAAAACGAGATTTAATTTGCAGAAGTGAAAACTAACGAATATTTTACAGTTGAATTAATAGGATTTTTTGGAAAAAGAATCGCATAAAAAGTGGTAAGCAAAATGGATAGAAAAATAATATACAAGAAAAATTTATGTTGGTCTACTTTTTATTTCATTATCATACAATTCTGAACAAGAAAACAAGAAAGATAACCTCAATTTAAATGATGTTAAAATGGGAAAAAAAATTTTTTTGTTGATGCGTACACAAGGATAACTTTATTCACGATACATGTGCACTTCCTTTTATCCTTATTTGTCTGTAAGTGTACAGTCAAAAAGAGTCACCATCTAAAGCTATAATTAATTTATAATTTTTTTTGTTGGCGCATAATGATTCATTCTATTGTTTAACAATGAATCTTATGAGCACATGATCGTTTGAGCGATAGCTCGTCCGGCAAAATAAATCCGAGAAATACAGAAAACCGATGCTTAAACCTCTAATAAAAGAATGTCGGGAGGCAATTTTATGTACAGCCTAACCCTTAACTCTAACTTTTACCGTTACCTATCCTTAAACCTAAGATAGACCGTTAATTATTACAGTAGAATTTTCCGGGATCGACAAAACTTGGCACAGATTTCTTATGTGCAATGATTTCATGCTCGGAAAATCTCACTTATATCCTGGTGCACTTCCTTAAATTTTCATTCATAGTTAGCAAATTGACTAATAACAACTAATTAAAAAATGCTCTCAAAGCTTGTTCATTTTGCTGTCGACGCTGCTCTCGTATCTACCGTGTTGGCAGGTATTCGAAGAACTTCTGGTTATACGTAAGTTGTGATACGATTATTAAAAGAAAACAGTTTACCTTTCGGTTGCTTATAACATATAAAACAATAATTAACAGGTTAAATACCAGTATGATAAATAATGGAGATATAAAAAAAGCGGTTGATAGTTGGCTTAGCCTAGGCGAGATAATCATGGATCATAGTAGTGAATTTGTAAGAGGATCGAGTTTATTTGACGATAAAGCGAGAAAGGACGATAATATTATTAAATCATGAGACTTATAATATTTATTTCTATATGTTATACCTTCTGGCACACAATTATAATTAATTCTCTTGTAATTTAAAGTTTAATATTATTTTATATTCTCGTCTCGAGATAGATTTTTCTTCATTATTGTTTAGGATCTAGTTGTTCAATTTTATAAGTATTTTCCTCGAGAAGTTGCTCCACTCGTCTTTTGATCCTCTCTACGTGTGCAGTATCGACAAAAAGATGAGTTTCGTCGAGATCCTCAATTATAAATGGTTCTCTTTCGGAATTATTCATACTCAGGATCACTTGTTTTACAGCTGGATCACTAAACTTTCAAATTTTTTTTTTTTAGTATACTTTAAAAATCCAAATTTTCTCAACCAATCATTTACCATTTCAATATAGTTCCTTTCGTAACGTAATATATTCATATATATATATAATTAGATATTTCAAATTTTTTTTAATAAGATAAAAAGCTTTTTTAGCTTTACCTTTAACAGCCTTTACCATATTTAATAAAATCTCAACTGATTTTCAAATGAAATATTTGATCAACTGATGTGTAGAAAATCGGAATAATTGCGCAACTGTGGTAAAATATATTGACATGTAATACATGTTACTCATATAAAAATCTTAAATTTTTCTACACTGACTCAAAAAACATTAACATATCAAAAACTATCAAGAAATAATCGTCGCGTCTGTTGGCAATTAACAACCTTATTAAGCTTTAACTACTCATTGACGCTTCCCTGGAACTTTTTCTTCGATTAACGCTTATCTTATTCTTTAAAGAGGCTATAATTAACATTTAAAGAGTAGGTAACTTTAAGGTGAGCGACATGGGTGGTAATTTTATTCGTGCGAATTTTATATTGTGGTTTGTTAGGAAATTTAGGAGGTTTATTCTATTGAGTTTGTGTCCCGCTGGTGTTTGCGTTAAGCGATACCTTACATTTTACTCACTTAGAAGCCATAGTGTTAGTATCGTGATTACGTTAGGATAGTTTAACATTGTGGCTAGGAAGAATTGAGCATAATCTTATTGTTTTATTTCATACTTTGCTTGAACAGTACAATAATCAAATGGCGCAGCAAGGTTGGGGTGAACCGCCTAAACCTAATTTGTCTGACAGCTGGGGTGAACCTCCTCCAATATCTAACCCGTCTGGCTGGGGACCAGATATTCAATGGAATGCACCTTCCGTGACAACGAGCGTTACATCTAATGACAACGAAAATTCAAATAACAACGGTCAGGTTGACTATTCAAATAATTATAATTATTGAAAAGTGTTTATAATTTGTTTGTAATTCTGTAAAAATTATCGTTATAGGTGATTGAACCCAATGACAATGCTGGTGTCGAAACTGAAGATTGGGACCCAAGCTATGACAATATGAAATCTGAACATCAAACAGTGCGTGCGAAAACTGTGGAAGAGTCATTCTCAAATCAAAAAAGACACGACAATTTTCTATTTGAGCTGGAACATGGTAATTAACTGGAAATCGTTTTTAATTTTTTGAATATTATAATTTTTCGATTTATTTTTTCAATTAAAATTCACATAAAAGATCAAAGCAATGGTACACTTGAAGCGTCATCTACTTCAGCTCCTCACAATCATCGAAAAGACGCTTCTACCCAAACCGACCCTGGAAAATGGATACCCGCGTCGAGCATTATCGATATTGATCAGTCACAAACGTATGATAACACAATCACGAGTCCCGATTTAACGCCGAAACCAACTGCTGAAAAAATGAAAACTAAACCTCAGTTTGCGATCGATATACCGCCGAGCGTATCCTATCAAAAGTCGTATCCTCCGGTAGCATGGGGTATGGCTCGTGACAAGAGTGTCTATTCTCCATCACGGAGTCCGACTTTTGCTTTTAAATATGTAGCTACGGACTTCGATACTAACGTTGAAAATAATATTAACCCTGAAAATTCGTCATCAGGGATCGATTCGTCTGATACGGCTGTAAAAACGACAAACGGCTCTACATCGAATCAAGAAAATGCTTCATCTATTAACCTTACTACTACTCAACCAACTAATGACTCGGGTAAGTCAGAAGATGGCCAATGGAATCGATCGGCGGTTGACGAGACAGTCACTCGTGCACATACACAAAGAACTGGTGATTATAAAAAATCAGTGCCCAATGCACCAATTGCAGATGTCCATTGGAGTCAAGGTAGCTCTTCAAAGTCCAATGCCGAAAAACCATTTGCCACTGAAAAAAATAATAAATTGGAAAATTCACCCAATTCCAATTCTTCAACTATAAAAGCGACGGATTCAGGGAAAGATAACGAAAATAAAGACGTTTTTGGCACACAAGTTGTTGAATGGGAAAAATCCAACTTCAATCTGACGACAAAGACTTCTACAGATTTGTGGAATCAATATTCTAATCGGAGTGCTATTCCAAGCGACTCAGCAATTGATAGTGGCGATAATAATAATTGGGCGAAACAGGTCGCTACATCGGAAACTCAGCTAAACAAGAACGATAATCAAACAAACGATGCCACTAAAGGTTCCCAATTTGATTGGGGAGCTACGCCAAGTACATTCGAAGCTCAACCAAGCAATAAGCAGGCCGCTTCGCTCTTAGCTCGGCTAAACAAGAACGATAATCAAACAAACGATGCCACTAAAGGTTCCCAATTCGGTTGGGCAGCTACACCCTCTACATTCGAAGCTCAGCTAAATAAGAACGATAATCAATCAAACGACGCTAATAAAGGTTCCGGATTTGGTTGGGGAGCTGCGCCAGCTAGCAGTGATCATGATTGGAAGAAGCAGGCCGCTACGCTCGAAGCTCAGCCAAACAAGGACGATAATAAAGGTTCCCAATTTGGCTGGGGAGCTGCACCCTCTACATTCGAAGCTCAGCCAAACAAAAACAATAATCAATCAAACGATGCTAATAAAGATATTGGTTGGGGAGCTGCTCCAGCTCGCAGTGATAATGATTGGAATAAGCATGGCGCTACGTTCGAAGCTCAACTAAACAAGAACGATAATCAATCAAACGATGCTAATAAAGATTCCGGATTTGGTTGGGGAGCTGCGCCAGCACCAGCTACAGCTAGCAGTGATAATGATTGGAAGAAGCAGACCACTACGTTTGAAGCTCAGCTAAACATGAACGATAATAAAGGTTCCCAACTTGGTTGGGGAGCTACACCAGCTACATTTGAAGCTCAACCAAACAAGAACGATAATCAATCAAACGACATCAATAAAGGTTCCCAATTTGGTTGGGGTGCTCCAGCTAACAATGATAATGATTGGAATAAGCAGGCCGCTACATTCAAAGCTCAGCTAGATCAAAAAGGTGGATCTGATTTTTCAAAGGACAATAATAATTATGGTGGAGGTTACGGGGGAGATAATTTCAATGATAAATCTAGTAACTCTTACTCAGCTGCTGGTGGTGCTAGTTATGGAGTAGGCCGAGGCTGTCGAAACTGCGGTGAAGAAGGTAAATACAACAATTAAATATAATATTCATTTCTCTTATTATGTTTTTAATTGAGATTTTTCAATAGGTCACTTCGCCCGTGAGTGTCCTAACAAGAAAAGAGGCGGTGGTGCTTGTCATAAATGTGGAGAAACAGGTAAAATTTTGATTTTCAAAATATTCGGTTTATTATTAAACTTTAAACGACATTCTTGAATTACATAGGTCATTTTGCACGCGAATGTCCAAATGAAGATAATTCTGGGGGTCCCCGAAGTAATACTTGTCATAAGTGTGGAGAAGAAGGTAAAAGATATAGATCTTTTCAACGTTTCCAATTGATTTATTATTGAGCTCTAAAAAAATGATATGCCTAAAATTTAAAATGTAGGTCATTTTGCGCGTGATTGTCCTAAACAATGGCAAGAAGGTAGTTCTGGAGGTTACCGAGGTGTTGGTGTATGGTATTTATCCCAACTTCGATTTTTTGCTTGCAAATTAATTTTAATCTATAATGTCTATAATATTGTGTCTATATTATTAGTTATCGATGTCAAAAGCCGGGCCATATATCGAAAGAATGTCCAGAAAATCCATATGGCGAAGAAAGCAGCTTCAGGTCACGAACTAAACCAAGTCCTTGTAATTATTTTGCATTAATTTAATTTTCGAGAAATTTTCGTTTCTTTAAATGAATTACTAAATGGTATTCTTAGGGACAAATCCTGATCCAGCTACACTTTCGCCTGAAGCCGCTTGGAACAAAATACTACAAGCCTGCAGCGAAAATGAAATCACAGATTTCAGAGAGGCTTTTGAAGAGTATGCAAAATCATCGGGTGAAACCTTCCAAAGCATAGAAGAGAAGTTGAGGCAAGCCGATTGTCGAGGTAGAATTATAGCTTTGGTAAATTGAAATTTAATAAATTCATTTTCTTTCTTCATTTGCCAAAAAAGTACTAATGATCATTTTCTATAAAGGAACGGGAAATTCCTTTTAATAAAATTTTAATCGATCTGCAAGGAAACATCGGCAAAACGTATGTAGCGACTCTTATATTGGGTGACATTTCGCGACTTCGTAAAACGGCCGGTAATCTTCCTTCTTCGCAAGAGGAGAATATGAGATGGTTAGCAGATTCTGGTTTTATACGGGATAATTATGAGCCAATATGTTACAATTGCAAGGAAAAAGGTCATGTTACAAGGTAAATTTATTTGAAATTTTCTTTGGTCTGAACATACATTTAATACATTTTTTCAAATTTTGCCAATAGAGATTGCCAAATGCCAAAGAAAGGTAATTCGATATTCAATTTCTTTTTATTTTTGGTTTTGCTAATAATTTTCTATTTTTTACTTATTCATTAGAAATTGAAAAGAAAGCCCCTATTAAATGTCAAAACTGCAAATCAGAACAACACATTACTAGAGATTGCCGCGAAGAATTAAAAAATCTTGATTGTAAAGCATAATAAATTAAGGATAATATTATTTTGCTTAATATTGCATTTACTAATCTCAATCAATTTATATCGAAAAATAGCAAGAGGCGCACGAGATGATGGCGGATTTGGTGGCAGTCGTGCTGCTGGATTTACATGGTATATGCCAAAAATTTTTCTTATACAATGGAATATATGTTTACAAATCCTTTTTTTATTTTTTTTCCCTAAAAAGCCACAATTGTGGCGGCGAAGGACACATGTCTCGCGAATGTACTGAACCAAAAAAACGAAGACCTTTAACATGTAACAAATGCGGACAAGAAGGCAAACATAATTTTACCAAATTGTTATTGGATTCTATTAATTAATATTAACCATTGGTATCATGATTTAGGCCATCTCGCTCGAGATTGTTCTACTGACGGGGGAAAACAAGATAATTACGGATACCCTTATGGTGCTAGCGGCAGTGATTCATATAACGATTTCGGCTCTAAAAGCACTCCTGCTGGTACTTGGGATCCGGATAGCGCGCCGTGGATAAATAATGATAATTCTACGTCAAAACAAGAGGCCTCGTCTTCATGGAATAACACTGCTTCAGCAAGCAAAGGTACTTGGGATCCGAATAACGCGCCGTGGACGAACAATGATAATAATCCTACGTCAAAACAAGGGGTCTCGGCTTCATGGGATAACGCTAATAATTCTTCAGCAAACAAAGGTACTTGGGATCCGAATAGCGCGCCGTGGATGAATAATGATAATTCTACGTCAAAACAAGGGGTCACGTCTTCATGGAATAACACTACTTCAGCAAACAAAGGTACTTGGGATCCAAATAGCGCGCCGTGGATGAATAATGACAATAATTCTACGTCAAAACAAGGGGTCTCATCTTGGAATAACACTAATAATCCTTCAGCCAACAAAAATACTTCTTCCTGGGATAAATATAATAATTCCCCTTCTAATCAAGCACCACCAAGTCGACAGGGTGCCCCATCCTGGGATGACAAAAATATTACTTCACGTAAGCAAAGCATCTCGTCCTGGGATGCTAATAACAATAATCAAACTCCACCAAGTCGACAGGGTGCCCCATCCTGGGATGACAAAAATATTACTTCACGTAAGCAAAGCATCTCGTCCTGGGATGCTAATAACAATAATCAAACTCCACCAAGTCGTCAAGGTGTTCCATCCTGGGATGACAAAAATATTACTTCACGTAAGCAAAGCATCTCGTCCTGGGATGCTAATAATAATAATAATCAAGCTCCACCAAGTCGCCAGGGTGTCCCACCTTGGGATAACAAAAAAATTACTTCACCTAAACCAAGCATCTCGTCCTGGGATGATAATAATAATAATAATCAAGCTCCACCAAGTCGCCAGGGTGCCCCATCTTGGGATAACAAAAACATTACTTCACCTAAGCAAAGCATCTCATCATGGGATGATAATAATAATAATCAAACTCCACCAAGTCGTCAAGGTGTTCCATCCTGGGATAACAACAATAGCACTTTCGCTACACAACAAAGACCCTCAACTTGGAATAATAATCAGATTTCATCAAACCAATTAGGCGCCTCGTCCTGGGAGAACAATAATCACACATCAAGTATGCGAGCACCCCCGGCTTCACGGGATAATAATAACCATAATCGAGAGGCAGCTTTTCAGGGTGGTAACAACTGGACTCGACAAACAACTCAATTATCGAATAATGCAGAAACTGAGTTACCGTGGAAAATGAATGCATCCGTACCAAACCCAGAATCCTCAACAACTTGGAATAACAATCAAAAATCACCTGAACAAATGCCATGGAGAAACAATATATCCACCCAACAGCAAACAACTTCCTCATGGAAAAATGAGAAACGTAAAGAAGCTCAACAGGAAGTAATGCCATGGAACAACAACAGTAGCCGTGCTGCTCCGTCTATTGATTCGCGGGGGTCCCAATCTACGCGGAATGTAGCAGTTAACCAAAATTCATGGGATCAACCTGTTGTAAATCTTCCTAATGCATCGGCAAATAATCAAGATACTCGGACTTCCCGACCTACACGGAATGCAAATGCTTCATATAATTCATGGGATAGTCCATATCAAGAACCTCAATTACGAAGAAATAGCAATCAAAGTGATGGATCTAATAGAAAATCTGGTGGATCTCAGCGGGGAGATAACAGCAACAATCGGTGGTAAATTTATTATATGCGTCGATGATAATAATCTCGCTTTTCTTTGTGAACAATATCTTCACATTGCTAGCTAAAAGATTAAGCGTTAATTATTAAGATAGCCGAAACATTTGTTTCTATGTACAAATAAAGATAATCAACCTATCATCTATCATTAGTACCGCTTTTGTGTAATAAAGTTTGAAAATTAGTTTGCAAATCATTAAATGTAACCAAAATTTTATACTTTCAAACCTGACTTCGAACTCTAAATTTTTCAACTAAAGAACATGGACGACATTACAGCACGACTCAAGAACAAGTAAATTAAAAGGCTATAGAATGAATTAATTATGATACATATTGTGAATCTAATACTTGTTTATGTGCATTCTTGAAGAGACCCATTGATACAGAAAAAAGCCGCCAACGATCTAAAAGTATTGGTAAGGATCGTAAAGAAAATTATACGAAAAAAAGTTATATTTTTTCTGAAATGCATAGCTAAATAAAAGATTTCTAACTAAATTTACTTATTATTTCTGTAAATCAGGTCGAAGGCCAACCAAGTGTTTTGAATGAGGCTAACAAACGAATATTTGAAATGATGCAAGGAGACGTGCCCGATAAGATTGGTGGAATTCTCGCTATCGGTATGGTGTCCTTGCATCAAAGATTTATAGAAATGAACGTTTTTGCTTATTGTATTTTTAATAGATATGAATTTTTAATTTCAATTTTCTATGAAATCGCAGATGCGCTCATCAACAACAATATTGAAACCACAACTCTAGCACGCTTTACAAATTACCTGAAAATGGTATTGCCAGGCGCTGATGCTCAAACTATGATATTGGCAGCACGGGCATTGGGTGAGGTGACTTATAATTTCATCATGGAAATTATTGAAATTGATAAATATTGTTAATTTCTCAAATCGGTTTTTGTTATTGTAGGTCGATTGGCAGTGCCAGGTGGTGCTATTACAGCATTATTTGTACAAAACGAAGTAAATTCTGCATTAGAATTTTTACAGGGTAATTTTAATAAATTAAATTCTAAAAGATCAAAATTAAAAACAATGTTTAAACTTTATATTTTTTAACATGTAAAAGGAGATAGACATGAAACAAGACGCTATGCAGCTGCACTTGTATTACGAGAATTGGCTCGAAATGCCCCCACCTTAATATATACTCATGTACCACAAATTCTTGATCTGATATGGATTGGTCTTCGTGATCAAAAAGTGGTTATAAGAGAAGCCTCAGCTGAGGCGTTGAGCGCTTGTTTACAAATTATATATGAACGAGAAAGCAGTATGAGAATGGAATGGTATCGAAAGATATATGATGAAGCTTTCAAAGGACTGAAATCGAATAACATTGATCAAATTCATGGGTCACTACTAGTCTATCGTGAATTATTACAACATGCAAAACCAGTAAGATGAAAATTAATTGATCTAATATTATATATACATATATTTTTTTTAGTTCTCTTCGCCAATTGTCTCTAATTAGTTTGTTTATAGTATATAGTAGAACGATATAAACTAGTATGCGATTCTGTTCTGCGACTTAAAGACAATCGAGATGGACTTATACGGCGTACGGTTATATCCTTAATACCGGATCTTGCTAACTTCAATTCAACGGAATTCATAGCAGCTTACCTTCCAAAATGTATGACACATCTACTTAACCAATTAAAAAAAGATCGAGATCGCTCAATGTGTAAGAGATCGTTAATATTCTTTATATTTTGATTTTAAAAATAAAATTTTTAAATTAATTTTGTAATATTTTTATTAGCCTTTACTGCAATTGGTCAAGTCGCGTGTGCTGTTGGCAGCAATATGGGACCTTATCTCGACTCTATATTGAGTAGTGTGAAAGAAGGGCTCTCATTAAAAGGGTATTTACTACAATCCATATCATATAAATTTTTGGATATCGTGAATTTTTATTAATAATTTTAATTACAGGAGAAATCGAGTTGGAAATGAAGCACCGATATTTCAGTGCATAGGAATGTTAGCCAAAGCGGTCGGACAAGCGC